CCCCCCCCTCCCGCCGCCGCCGCCTCTCCTGGCGTTGTCGGTTTCAATTTCCCGACCCTCCACAGGGCGTACACGGTGGGGAAGAGGTTGTTGCGGCCGTCGGAGTCGAAGAAGAGGGGGGTCTTGGTGGGGACGTGGAAGTACACCAGGGCGCGGGTGGCGAGCTTGACCACCTCTATGCCATCCTAAGGAGACGAAATGACGCCGGAATGGGCGAGGAGGGTGTGCCCATGTAAACGCATGCCGTAATCGTTAGACCTTTGACCTCGCATCCTTACAATACCGGGACGGCGCGATCAGCCGGGTTGGAGGGGCGGGGGGGATCTTCATTCCAGACTTCGTGCAATGGACACACGGGGCTGCGTGCTGCGGGTTCGACCACATACCGAACCAGACGTTTCTTCGCGTACTATAAATCGATCGTCGAATGATCCCGCCCCCGCTCGACACGTCGGAACGATTGGCCGCACTTGATCGGTCCTGTGGGAACAATACTCCGTCCTCTCGAGGACGCGTGGGTCATTGGTCTAACCCTTACGGCATGCAAGACATAATAGCACCCCCCGCCCCATTCGACTCGTCGTCGGCCCTGCTTCTCCTTCTCGTGCTTGGAGGAGCCGGGGAGCAGCAGTTGTCGTACAGGTACGACCGACCCAAAAGAAATTGATCTAAGCCAGGGCAAGCTTTGGAGCCGTAAAGCTCTGCTTGGATGCTGATAAGGTCAGCTGTCGGCTGCGGCGGCGTGCGATCCGGCAAGCTAGTGACGTTATTTGTGAGATACAGCAGTAGTGACGCACCGACCTGTACCAAAAATAATATTTCAACAACAAGCAGTATTTTGTGGTGGCAACCAAAAGGGGGAGTGGGCAGGGGAGAGGCAAACAAAGCCGGCATTTCTGCCAATGCGGCAAGTGAAGAAGGAGCACACCGCCCGATTGTTACGATACATGAAACAGTCAGAGAGGCCACACAGCGCTTGCGGATAGATAACAAAGTCAACAGGTTTCTTGCGCAAAGTCCAGCTCGGTCAATCTACATCTTGCAGCATTGCACTTATCCCGTGCATAGCAGCAGTAGTGAGGCTAGGTTGTGCACCACCCTTTTCCGTCACTGCAACAACTTGGTCCTCGCACGATTAGGGAGCATGATACTTTATTCCTACCTTGCTGGGCATCAGCTCATCGATGATCTCTCTGGTCAGCAGAGGGAGCGCCGAAACAATTTCCACTTTAATCTTCTTCGCTGCGCTGTTCTTGAGCAGGCTCCGGCTCCGCTCAGCCACGTCTTGCTTCTTTCGAAACATTGTGCGTCGTACGCATACAGCGGTGTGCAATGAAAATGCAGCTTGTACCGTGCAAAGCTGCGAGGTTGCGAGGTTGCGAAGCTGTGTGCTTGGAGGGGGACAGACGCTGGCAATGTCCGCGGTGTACCGTTGTTGGGTTTCCAAGAAGTTCGTGAAGAACATATTGTAACGGTACTGACACGACGAAAGTACCCTTAGGGTTAGGGTTAGAAGGCACTGAGGCGACATGGGATCGGTTATTTAATTTAAACACAAGAACAACAGCAGGAGCAGCAGCAGCAGCAGCAGCAGCAGCAGCAGGCGCAGCAACAGCAACAACAAAAACAACGACAACTATTACCGGAGAGAGCCACGATCTGTCGGTGACGTGGACATCGCGGCCAAAGCCCGCCTTCGTCTTGCACGTACGGTTCCGTTGCCTTGAAGAGTAATAGAAAAAAGAGGAGAAACTGGACAGAAGCCATAACGATTGTTGAATGCTTCAACAACAACAGCGGCTCGATCGAGGATTTAGGTGCAAGTGATATATGAATCCTCCGACTGCGGTGCCATCGGAGCCAGTGCTGACCGGTAGCGTGCGGAAAACGCTCCTTCAACAGCAGACCGAGTACACCGTCCGCGATCCTTCAACTCACGCCGCTCGACAGGTATGTTTCGTGCGCTTTCACTCCTGTGTCGGGCGATATGGTTGCGGGCAATGCTAGTTGGCGACTCGCCGCTCCTATTGCCACCATGAAACTTTTGCATTCCGTAAGAAGATGGCATCGATGACAACCTACTTGCAATATTTTCAGCCTGCAAGTAAGGTATCGGTTTTGGATAAGGATACATACAGAATGAAAGGCGCCATTACTGCTGTGGTATGTGCTGTAAAATGTCGGCATGAAAGGGTGCGTGCTTTGTGCTGCTGTCTGGTACACGCAGATCTCACCGAGAACGCGTTGCTATATATCAAAGAAGTAAGAATGGCATGCTGCTTCCGTTTTAGGTGCGGGAACTGGACACGTTTGCAGGGTCGATGGGAGCGAAGAAGAGGGCCTGTCTCGAACAAATCGAGAAGGATCGGCAGGAGCTGGGGTACATCGACAATCAGATAAAAAGTGAAGCAAGGAAGTGAGTGCCACGCCTACCCGGCATGTTCTTACTGCATTCTGGATCACGAAGTGATGCTCACTACTGCTGTACTCAAGGACTGCACGATCTACGAGTAGACTGCTACTATATGGGCGCATGCCTCTCTTTGCCCGATATGCCACTGGACGCATGGCTTTGACTGTTGCCTGGCTAGAGCCTCTGCTTTTCTATCGGTTTGCTTTGTGCTCTCTTTTGTCACGTTTGTGATGATTTGCTGAGTTCTAATGTGTTTTTGGTTTATACAAGGCAACATCGTGGTGTGCTCATTTTCCATGGCATTGTATGTGTCAGTACCCCAAGCGGCGAACGCTCCGACGCATGTATGCATTCTTGTAGTAGACTACTCTGCGAGAATTATTTTTTCTTCTCTTCTTTTCTTCCGGCGTGTTTTAGACGTGTGCACCCTTTTGGTGGTAGTTGGCCTGTTACCACGGAAGGCGTTCGCATCAGTTGGACTGGTACTGATGTTAGCAGGTACTACGAGCAAAGATCACAACAATGCGACAACGACCCCGCATGGAATGGGATGAGAGAAACGTATGCAAAGAAGCGTCAAAAAGTGGGACAAAGAGGTAGTGGCGATCTTCCTCAGTACTACAACCTACCACCGATCTATCGGCGGCTTGACCACCCCAATGCACTTCCGTATTGTCGCTGCCTCGTTCATGATATCATGGTACCAAGATACGATGCTCTGCTGGAGAGCTTAAGCGTGCGCCGAGCCGAGCGAGATCGGTTGCGTGAGCATCTCGGACGATGTAAAGGCGACAGCGATTCGGTGCGTCACCCAACTGCCATTCGCACTTCACACGGTGGTCAGTGTAGGTCACACGAAAAAAAGATACCCGGAAGTATGCAAAAATATCCATTGTAGAGACTGAGCAAGATGGACCACGCGCCGGAATAGCCTGCAATATTTTACACACTACACAGGCACGCGACTTCGAGCAGGTCACTTGAAGAAGCCGTATCGTGTCCAGGGAGAGAGCAGAGTGGCCGTCAGCAGCGACGACGAGCGTATTGTGGTCCATACCACAACAACGATGACACTTAGACCAGAACTTCGGGTATTGCATATTCGAGCGTGGCCGATACGTGCCCATCACATTTACACCGCCTACACTTAACTTTTCTAAGACACTGAAAAAACCGAGAGTCCCACGTTCAGAGCGCAAGCCGCGAAACCTCCACGCCAGTTTTTGTCTCCACTCTTCTCCTCGCCGCCTACTCCACTTCTTAACCCCCCCCCCCGTTCTAGACATAAGTGGTTTGGCGCTGTTGGCAAAGCGCTGTAAAACACGCCACCCCAAATATAGCCCCCATATCATGCGATACCAAAGACGCGTGACGCATGGACGAGTGAAGTGAGGATAGCTGTTTACGGAAACCTCACAGGTTGAGCGATGTAAGAGATTGCCAGACATATAGACGTGTTGAGTGATTATAGCTGTATACTGAAACCCAAGGGGTTGAGTGAGGTTTGAGATTGCCAGACATATGGACGGGTTGAGTGGGGATAGCTGCATACTGAAATCTCACGGGTTGAGTGATGTTGGGGTGCCGGGCACATAGACGCGTTGAATGAGGATAGACACATACTGAACCTCACAGGTGATTTGTGATGGAGATTGCCGGACACATGCACGCGTTGAGTAAGGAAAGACACATACTGAACCTCACAGGTGATTTGTGATGGAGATTGCCGGACACATGCACGCGTTGAGTAAGGAAAGACACATACTGAACCTCACAGGTGATTTGTGATGGAGATTGCCGGACACATGCACGCGTTGAGTAAGGAAAGACACATACTGAACCTCACAGGTGATTTGTGATGGAGATTGCCGGACACATGCACGCGTTGAGTAAGGAAAGACACATACTGAACCTCAAAGGTGATTTGCATTGGAGATGGCCGGACACATAGACGCGTTGAGTGAGGATAGCTGTATACTGAAAATCCACAGTAGCTAAAGTGAGGGGACAATTCGAGAATGCGGTACACATAGACCCGACCCCGAACACGTACCCGAACCCCCCCTGAAAAATAGGGGACATGCGCCCCCCCTCCTCTCTACCTACCCCAGAGGATGAGGAGGGTACAGTCAAAAGTAAGCACAAGCTTACCCCCTAAGGTTAATGCCTATTGGTACGGCACTAGAAAGAAATACTAGAGTCCACCATTGGGCGGTGGAGGACTTAGAGCTAAGACACCCCAAAACTCTCCGGCGTGAGATCCAAAATGGATCGGACGGTGGAGGCGGGGGGGGGGGTTCGTTGCTTGAAGTGGATCAATAAAACATAGAGCCATCAAAGCAAAGCTTATTACTCACGTCGAGCAAGCTGAACGACCGGACCAACCACGCAAAAACTGCGGAGCTAGATGTGCGGCACGCACAATGCATTGTTTTCGATTGGAGAGAGGCGAGTATAAAGCAGTAAGGAATTGTTGGCCAAACTTTCGGCAGATAGGTCTACTCGGGAGTGTAAGTGGGGTAGCAACCCATGGTGGAGCGTACATGAGAAGCTGGACGTTGGTGTACGCTCCATCCCGGCGTGTGAGTAGGATCTTAGGCTATACAAGTCGCCCCTGAACATATTGTGGTGAAATTTCCTCCCAGGCAGGAAA